CAATAATTGTTTACAACAAAAAATGAAAAATGTTGTATATTAGTAATGTTTATTATATATATTTACATGTGTACAGCCACTGGAGATGTTGCTTGAGGTGGATGATGAAGCGCTTGGTCTTGGAAACTGCTGAGTCAGGGGCCTGGGTCCCCACTCACTCGGTCCTGGCTGGTGCCTCGTGGCACCAACACCACCTACTGGCCATGTGGTACAGGGTATCATATGGTAAAGAATACCATATGGTGTAGGATAGCATATTGTACAGGGTACCATATGGTGCATGATACCATACAGTACAGGGTACCACATGGTACCATACAATACGGGGCACCATATGGTACAGATACAGGGATCCCTATGGAAATAAGTCACCCTGACTTTTTTGGGTTATCCTAGGATTTTATACACATACTACTATGTATGATAATCTATGTAACTCTATTTGTGTACACCTGAATAAACTTACTCAAGCACATGTGGCATCGTAAGTTTATTTAGGTATACACAAGTAAAGTTACATAGATTATCATACATAGCAGCATATGTTTGGAGAACCTAGGATAACCAAAAAAGTCAGACAGACGTATTCCCATTAGGGTCCCTGTACCATATGGTACAATGTACCATATGGGACATTATACCATATGGTACATTATACCATATAGTACAATGTACCATATGGTATAATGTACCATATTGTACATTGTACCATATGCCACCATATGATATGGCACCATTGTACCATATTGTACCATTGTATCATATGGTACAATGCACCATATGGTTCAGAACCATAGAATTTCTCTTCAGATCCACTTCCATCAATCTTAGAACTATAAGTTGGGAAGAGGAGTCAGAATTCACCCGGGGAGTGAGAGCTTCCTTGCCGCCAGGCATGGCGAACAAAGCCACTTTGTCAGCATTCCCACAATGCCATGCGGGCATCCAGATTTTTTCTATAGTGTGCACACTGACCACCCAGACCCATTCTCTTAGATGTAGGCCTACCAGCCTTCTAGAGCTAAATTTGAGGCCGCTAGAATTTTGGCGTAGTTATACGGTTTGGACCCACAACTCAAAGCCATAGAACTAAGGCACAGACCCAGAAAGGGTTAAAAAAAACGTATTTTTTGCTAATAGTTTTGGATGTCTGAAACAGATTAATTCGATTTACATTAATTCTTATGGGAAATATTATTTTGGTTTTCGGCCTTTTCGGTTTGAGGCCGACCTTCTGGAATGGATTATGGCTAATAACCGAGGGTCGAATGTACAGTGGATCCCCGCCTTACGAACACATCACATTACGTTAAATCTGCCATACGAAGCATTTTGCTTTGCCTCATGATAAAAAACTCGCCTTAAGTGATTCGTCCAGGACGCATCCCACGTTTCCCAAGTAATAGCCTTTACATTGTTTACTCATGTGCAAGTTAATTGTTCTACATATTGTATTACTTCTACTACTACTACTACTACTACACTACTACTACTACTACTACTAGTATTACACCTCACTGAGCCTATATATACCCTCTATGTCCATGTACTGTTTGTAACGGCTTGATAAAGCTCCTGGAGAGTGAAATGTTGCCCTAATAAAATGTCACATTAGTTGCACTTGTGTCCTTTTACTTTACACGTCCTTAATCGTTGAAGAAGGCAACTTCCTCCATCTTTCTTCCCCCTCCTCTGAAGCAATTTCCTCAGCTGTGGTCTGTTGCTGTTGGAGATGAAGCTCTTGCAGCTCATCAGTGGTTAGCTTTTCATCGTCCTCCTCCACCAACTCTTCCACATCCTCGCCACTAACCTCCAACCCCATGGACTTCCCCAGTGATACAATAGATTCCACAACTGGCATAGGCTCCTCAGGGTTAGCCCCAAACCCTTCAAAATCCCATAATTTACTCGAAGCAGAGTTCAAAGTCCTGCAAGTCACTCCCTCCCAAGCCTTACCTATAAGGTTTATGCAACTGAGGATACTGAAGTGATCTTTCCAGAACTCTCTTAGGGTCAGTTCAGTGTCTGAGGTCACTTCAAAGCACTTTTGAAACAATGCTTTGGTGTACAGTTTTTTGAGATTTGAAATGACCTGCTGGTCCACGGGCTGGAGGAGAGGAGTGGTATTAGGAGGCAAGAACTTCACTTTGACGAAGCTCAACTCCCCCACAATTTGCTCTTGCAAGTTGTGAGGATGAGCAGGAGCATTGCCCATTACCAGGAGGCACTCAAGTTCCAATTTATTTTCCAGGAGGTACTGTTTCACAGTGGGGCCAAACACGTCATAGAACCAGTCAATAAACATGCCTTACTGTTTGCTCTCCACATCACACAAAATTTAGTCTTGACAATATTATTTTTCTTGAACACTCTAGGAGTTTCAGAGTGATAGACGAGTAAAGGCTTCACTTTGCAATCCCCACTAGCATTACTACAGAGTTAGCCTGTTTTTCATAGGCTTGTGTCCTGGGAGTGCCTTTCCCTCCTGAGTAATGTAGGTCCTGTTTGGCATTTTCTTCCAAAACAGGCCTGTTTTGTCACAATTAAACACTTGCTGGGGTTTTAATTTTTCAATGGATGTACTCCTTAAAGTCCTGCACATATTTTTCAGCCACTTTTTTGTCAGAACTGGCAGCCTCACCATGCCTTATCACACTGTGTATGCCACTATGATTCTTAAATCTCTCAAACCAGCCTTTGCTGGCCTTAAATTCATCAACAGCAGCACTATTTGGTGGCATTTTCTTAATGAGATCATCATGCAACTGCCTTTCCTTTTCACGTATTATTGACTGAGAAATATTATCTCCTGATAATTGTTTATCGTTTATCCACACCAACAACAGCCTCTCCACATCTTTGAGTATTTGCGATCTCTGTTTTGTAATCACATCTGCACCTTTTGCAACAACAGCTTCCTTGATTGCCTTTTTGTTGCACAAGATAGTAGTGATGGTTGAATGGGGTTTGTTGTATAACTTTTCCAACTCCGAGATACGCACTCCACTCTCATACTTTTCTATTATCTTTTTCAATTTGATAGTGCACCTCACCCTTTTTACCACAGGATTGGCATTAGAAGCTTTCTTTGGGCCCATGGTGGCTTATTTAGCAGTTACAAGCACTAAAAACAATGGAATAATACAAAATATATCACATGTATGCATGGAACCGTCCTCAGTGGCTTGTAAATGATGGCACACTGGCTGGTACATGGGGTGACCAGCTGGGCCTGCTCAGGGCACTGTGTAGACACGTTCAGGATGAAAGCTCCTAATCGAGTTTTTAGGTGTTATCCGAGCCAATTTTTTTATGCCAAAGCAAGGCATTTTCTGATTTTGGTATTATCCGATGCAGGTGTTAACTGAGGGTCCACTGTATATAAACATGCTATGTTTATATGCAGGGCAGAGGGAAAAACATTACGTTTTCTCTGGTCCAGCACCAAAGAAAATGCATATGAATCTGCGTTTGGTCTAGTCATTCCACTTTTGTTTACAATTCTCGGCATGAATTATTCATCACTTCTCCCTTCGTTTATGATGGCATTTGAAGGCAGTTGTTAGAAATGATTAAATTCAGTGAACAAGGTATGTCGATAGTAATAATATGGCCCTGGGCTGCAGTGTAGTGGTGTAGCACGTGGTGTCGTGATTCATTTTGACCCATACAAGCAAGTCGTATTCCAAACAAAGGTCGTATACCAAGCAAAACTTTTCATGTCCAAACAGGACATATACCAAGTTGGACTTATTCCAAAGCGAACATATATCGAGTTACCACTGTACCTTCACTCCTGAAACAAATCAAAATCATCTCTATTTCTGTAATATATCTTCCTGGAGAGTGTACAAAGAACTTTCATGGCACATATAAGCACGATAAGGCACCTAAATTACTGGGAACGGTTGAAGATCCTTGATCTGTATTCCCTGGAATGCAGACGAGAGAGATACAAGATAATATACACTTGGAAGGTCCTGGAGGGATTGGTACCAAACCTGCACACAAAAAATCACTCCCTACAAAAGCAAAAGACTCGGCAGGAGATGCAACATTCCCCTAATGAAAAGCAGGGGTGCAATGAGTACATTGAGAGAGAACACAATAAGTGTATGGGGTCCAAGACTGTTCAATTGCCTCCCAGCCTACATAAATGGGATTACCAATAGACCCCTGGCTGTCTTTAAGAAGGCACTGGACAGGCACCTAAAGTCAGTACCTGACCAACCGGGCTGTGGTTTGTACGTCAGCTTGTGTGTGGCCAGTAGTAACAGCCTGGTTGATCAGACCCTGATCCACCGTGAGACCTGGTCTCAGACCGAGCCACGGGGGTGTTGACCCCTGAAACTCTCTCCAGGTCAACTCCAAAATACACCAATACACAGTCAAGATTTTTTCCCCATCATTCACTGCGTGGGGCATGATTTTTTTTATATGCTACACATTAACCACATAGACCCATTCATTCATATCTAGACCCAAATTTACTGTTCACTGATTATATGAGTGAGCTGAGCTCATCACGTAATTCTATGAAACAGACCCTGGGCTCTAACCCATAGTACAACACACACCTCGAAAGGACCCCAATGGAAGTCACTCTGACTTTTTAGGGTTATCCTAGGTACTTTACATATGCTGCTATGCATGATAATCTATGTAACTGTATTTGTGTATACCTGAATAAACTTACTTAATAAAGGATTAACCTCCTGGACCATGTGAACACTTGTTAATATTGCAAGTTCACATTGGTTTTAAAACCTTTTGATTAACTCTGTTATTATGCCTATATTATTACTGCTCAAAATATTTTAGTTTTATCCTTCCCCATATCCTTTCCCTGATCTCATTAATATAATGATGACCAAATAAAAAAAAGACATTCCCCTCAGAACTTTCTGTTAGGTAGTGGCCACGACAATGTGTGTCATACAAGTGACTGAATAACAATGTTAGTTAATAGTGTTTGTTAGAGCAAGAGAAGTAACACCTACAGCAACTGCTCCAGGTTCTGGATGTCTGATCACCACAACGTCTGCATATCCTGACATCATCATCACAGAATCTGGAAAAAAATTAAGATTGTGTTCAAATTTCCTCTTAAAGTGCAGTTTAGGGAGCATGTTTGATTTAAAATTACGATAAATTAATGTTTCTACATCCTATAACATCAATTCACTGGTGAACAACAACAACAAAAATTCATTGCCAAAGATATTTAGGTTATGTTGGGGTTGGTGAATTTGAAAATGTCAGTAGGTTTTTCACATTGGCTTTAGTTTGTGAGATATTACATACCTACCCTCAATTAACAGGGAACTTAGCCATAACATATTTATGGACATTAGGGCCCTGTTTTATGACGTTCTGCTAATACGGACAGTTATGACCAAAACTCGTCATACGGTTCTCCCCACCCGACACTAATATGATCACCATGTGCTACTCATTTTCTTTATATGCTCTGTGAGTACATCTCTCCATTATGTCTGGAAACTTTCCAAAATTTCAAGTATTTTTAAGTTGTGTATATTATGTGTATCCTGATAATTATACTTATGTGTACCTATACCTAAATAAACTTACACACTGTGCTGGTAAGCAGGTATACATTAAAATCACTAAAATTGTCCCTCTAGTTTTGATGCCATATTAATAATAATACTACTAATAATAATCACTTTTGAGCACATTAATATAGATATTTTCATTAATCCATCCATAATATTTTCTTCAAAATTATATAAGAAACACGTTACATAGCATATAAACAGATGTAGCCAGGCAGAGATGTAGCCGGACGAAGGAAACAAAAATTACATTTTCTCTGGTCCAGCACCAGAGAAAGTGTGTATTAAGCTGCCTTTGACCCAGCCACTTCCAATATTCGGATGAAGACCTACTTAGACTAGTGGATGGCTCCTATGACCCCGCCTCCTCCTGCTTCATCTCGCCTGACTACAGTATATAAGCCACTGCTACGGCCCTGTGCTGTACTTTCTACAAGATTGATGGACTGAACACATTGACTCCAGGCTGAGGGACTAATTACCTCAAACTCCTCCTCTCCTTATATCTTCCTGCTTTGTATAAGACTGATGAAGCCACTGTGTGGTGAAACATTTCTTCAGTAAAGATTCCCATATGTTGCACAAGTGTCTTAATTCTTCAACTTTGGTTTACTAATTACAAAGAAAGCCACTATCATGCCGGGGCATTTCGGGCAGACTAATCCTAGCACATACTAACTTAAAACTCGACAAGATAATAGTGGTTAAAATCTTATTTAATCTTAATACTAATGCGAGGTAGTCAAGGTGAGGGTTTATAAGAATAATCAACCAATCCCTGGCTAACACCAAGCATCCTCAAATCCATTAACACAAAGCACAAATATAAAAAACAGTATAGAATGGATCAAATAACTAGAGAACAGTCTAAACGTTACTTGTCAGCACTTACCAGCCTGATAAGAAGGTCTATAAAAATTGTATTATGAAAATAGATTACATAACATCAAAGGTGATATGAAAAAAACCTGGAAAACTCTATCTTAAATTCTTGGAACTAAAAAGTTATCCAAAACCAAAACAATCAAACTAACAAAATCAGATGAACCCCTACTCACACCTACTGAAACAGTGAACAGACTCAATGTTTTCTTCTCCACCATAGGAAAAAAATCTAGCGAACAAAATACAAAGCACAAACACCCGTCCATCAGAATACCTAATAGGTACCTACCCAAATACGCTATTCTTAGCTCCAACTAACCCCATAGAAGTTGCACTCATCACAAACACCCTTAAAAACAAGGCAGGAGACAAACACCTTGCCTGCTTTTATGTACAAAAAAGCTTCTCAAGTATTGTCATTACCACAAACTGTATATGTGACTATCACAGTAAGTACTGATTTGTTACTGGTTATTAGCTATGAAAACACTGTAGAGGTTTCTGGATGATGTCACTAGGTGGATGGTTTTTTTTAATAAATCTTTATTTTATCTTAATACTAATATGAGGTAGTCAAAGTGGAGGTTTATAAGAATAATAAGAATAATAATAATGGTACAGTGTCAGTAAAAATAACCAGATCTTCCATTTGTTACAAAAATTGTTTTTAATAGCAAGAATATATACATTATAGAACAAAAATTGTAATATTTGGTACTTGCATTAATATAGTGTTATCATCACCTTGGCCTTGATGGCCATCTGAAGCCACCTTGGCAATTTTCGCTCAAATTCCTTAAGTAATTAATGTAACTGGTTGACTCAAGTATCGTTGATCAACTGCTGCAGGTACAACATGATTTACCACTGCAGGTACAACATGATCTACTACTGCAGGTACAACATGATCTACTGCTGCAGGTACATGATCTACCACTGCAGGTAAAACATGATCTACTGCTGCAGGTACAACATGATCTACTGCTGCAGGTATAACATGATCTACTGCTGCAGGTACAACATGATTTACCACTGCAGGTACAACCTGATCTGCTGCTGCAGGTATAACATGATCTACTGCTGCAGGTACAACATGATTTACCACTGCAGGTACAACATGATCTACTGCTGCAGGTACATGATCTACTGCTGCAGGTACAACACAATCTACTACTGCAGGTACAACATGATTTACCACTGCAGGTACAACCTGATCTACTGCTGCAGGTACAACACAATCTACTACTGCAGGTACAACATGATCTACCACTGCAGGTACAACATGATCTACTGCTGTAGGTATAACATGATCTACTGCTGCAGGTATAACATGATCTACTTTTGCAGGCACATGATCTACTGTTGCAGGTCCAACATGATCTACCGCTGCAGTCCAACATGATCTACCGCTGCAGGTACAATATGATCTACTGCTGCAGGTACATGATTTACCACTGCAGGTACATGATCCACTGCTGCAGGTCCAACATGATCTACCACTGCAGGTACAACATGGATGAAACATGAAAGGATTCCATATTCATTCTCATAATATTCCAGCATTCACAATAGAATTGAGGTCTGGACTATTTCCTGGCCACTGTAAAACCTTAATATTTTTCTCAGTGAGCTACTTGGTTACTTTTTTTTGGCTTTGTGAAAGGAAACACTATCATGCCTAAGGGTTGTACAGCCATGAATTTCAAAAAAATCAACAGGTGGTCCTTGAGAATGGTGGTGTAGCAGTCACTTGTATTTCTTTGAGCTGTGATGCTGTCATACTGCATGACTGAATTACAACTTAAAGAAATGCATCCTGAATGGTTGGGTGATCTCTGGATTTAGAGCATCCATCACTCCTGCAAAAGAACCTCCACCTGCTAAGTCATCATGCTGCAAGAAACCTCTACTCATGCCCCACATGAAGAAGGAATGCCTGCAGCTTGTCAGGAAATATGCACACTGGAGTGTTCATGACTGGAAAAAAGTCATGTGGTTAGATGAATTCACATTTCAGTGAACTCAAGGTCATCAAAACAGGGTGAGGCACCCCTCCTCCATCAGTAAGTATGACCCAGTATACACAATGAGCACCATAAAGCACCCACAATCTGTCATGCTTTACTGTTGCTTTAGTAGTATACTTGGTCATGGGGGGTTTGTACCTCCTTCCCCAAAATGCATAGAGTGCCAACTGCTACATCACCATTCTCGAGGACCACCTGCTTAATATTTTTCAAATTCACGGCTGCACCACCTTCATGCATAAGTGTCCCCTGTCACAAAGCCAAAAAAGTAACCAAGTGGCTAGTTGAGAAAAATATTGAGGTTTTACAGTGGCCAGGGAATAGTTCAGATCTCAATCCTATTGTGAATGTCTGGAATATCATGAAAAAGAAGATAGAATCTTGCCACATTCCACATATGTATGCTTGCAGCAATATGCAGTGGTAGATCAAGGACATCTGGGTTAATCAGTTATCTGTTGATTACTTCAGGAATCTGAGTGAAAGCATGCCCAGATGGCTTCAGATAATCAAGGCCAAGGGGGAGACAACAAAATATTAATGTAAGTACCAAGTACAGTCTCTCCTCACTTATCGACATACTTGTTTACTGACAGCTTGTAGTTATGATGGGCTTTCCAACCAGTATGCAAACCTAAATAATGTATATCACAGCTGATTTCCTTTATTTTGTTTATTACAGTATACAGCTGTATAAACATTCAAAAATATACTAGAAATGTTATAAATGGTGCAAAGGTGACAATAAAAAACATCTAAAGATGGTTGACACAAACCCACTACCAGTATAGTATGCTCCTCGCTTAGCAACAAATTAGTCCACTGACATGGTCTTAGGAACAGAACTCCGTCCCTAACCCTTTCACTGCTGATGCCGTATAGATACATCTTAGGAGCCAGTGTTGGTGATGTATTAATATGCCAAAATTCTAGCGGCTTCAAATCTAGTGGGAAAAAGCTGGTAGGCCTACATGAGAGAATGGGTCTGCATGGTCAGTGTGTGCAGTATAAAAAAAAAATCGGTGCACCCACATTGCATTGTGGGAATGCCATTTCAGTAGTCCTTGTTTACCATGCCTTGCGGTAAGAAATATCTCGCTCCCCAGCGAAATGGGACTCTTCTGTTCCTAAGTGACAGTTCTAACACAGATGAAAGTGTCAGTGAAGATGAATTTCATGGCTCTGAGGAGTTTGTGACCGAAAGCAATACCCAGAATAATGAAAATTGTTCTGAAAACCCAGACGACCTTCAACCTTCCACCTCTGGTACTGGGCCATCTTGTTCATGTTCAGTTGTACCACGGCAAAATAGGAAACTCTTATTTCCCCATGTCCAGGACTCAGATGTGAGCAGTGATAGTGATTGTGATTTCTAAGTTCTTCATTACAATTCCAGTAGCAACAGTGAGGAGGAATATTCTACAGTGAAATGTCAGTATGTACGATGCTACGTGCATTCTGGTAGTGTGTCATATGCTATTTCGAGGGGAAGGAGTACATCTACGAGTACATTCCGTGGCCCTACACCAGGAACAGATAGGGAAAATGACAATGATATTGTTACAACTGGGGTGGATAATGTG